GTTTTTTTAATTACGAAAAATAAAATAAAATAAAGAAAAGGAAAGTGGGGTGTGGATGAGTGGGGATAAGATTTGAGAAAGATTACAAAAAATAAAATAAAAAAAAGAAAAGGAAAGTGGGTGGAGCATACAGAAAAGAAAAGAAAATAAAGGGGACCATGTGGGAGACAACGGGGAAGTGAGAGAGAGAAAAGGCATCGGGTTGCTGTCCAAGGCATTATGAGAGAGAGAGGATGATGTAAAAATAGATCTGCCGAAGCGTGTGAAGATGGGGGGATTTGCCAGGTGGTTAATCATGGTGTTGATGCTAGACTTGTGTCTAGTGGCAAGAAAAGAGGCTTCATCGTTTCAAGCCATTTACAGGGAGAGGCGGTGCCGGAGAAGGACAGCTCGAGTTTGATGGAGCCTGTCATGCAAGTTATTGGAGGTGTAGTTGAGGAGAGGAGTGGTTGAGAATGGACCACGGTGACTCGAACCATCAGCGCGGAGTCGCTGCTGCCAATATCCACCTCCGCGAACAGTGGTCCGTCGGTGGCCGGTGGTGCGGTTGGGATTGCCTGCGGCAGAGTCCAGGATGATGTGGACCATGGACTCGGCTGTATCGAGGTTCTGTGAAGAAACCCACATGGCTGATTCGATGATTTGGGTTGGGGTTGGGTTTGGAGGGACGTGATTGGAGTTAACCAATGAGGACTCGCACGTGTCTGGGAAGCGTGTGGCCTTGCACGCTTGGTTGATCTCAAGTCCAGGTGGGACGGAGTTCGGTTTGGGAGGGGGTTTGGTGGATGGTTGTTGGTGGTGATGGGTTGCAGAGGAGAGAGAGAAGAAGAGGAGGAGAGAGAGGAAAGCGATAAACAAGAGAGAGGCCATTAAAATGATGACCAACTTCAATGTGAAGAATGATGTGAAGGGGGTTTTTCTGTGGTGCTGCATTTTGGTGTGTGTATGGGAGGATTTATAGAAAGGCATAATAATAATGTTTTGTGGTTATGGCGGTGTTTGATTGGTTAAGTGGAAAGTTTTTGGAAGGTAGTGAAGTGACTGTCTCTGTCTGGACTATTGTGGATCATCGGAAAATGGTTTTGATTTGGAGAAACGGTTTTTGGAGTTGGAGTCACGGACTGATTTCCTTCTTGTCGTCGTTGTGTGCAAGTGGGGGAGGAGACGTTGGGCCGTGAGGGGTGTGAAGACGGAAAGAAGGCACTAGCGCGTTATTACTCCAATAAATAAAGGATTTTGAATCATTCCTATATATCTAAATCATCATGACGAATTATTTGTCTATTGCTTAAAGAAATAACAAAATATTTTTTTGAAATATATATTTTTTTAAATAAAAATAAAAATAAATAATTTTAAAAAACAAATAAAAAAATTGAATTTTTTTATAAAAAAAATAGAATTTTGAAAAAAGTTTGGTAATGAGTTTTTGAAATAAGTTTTGAAAAATTTATTTGGTTATGAATTTTTAAATTTTTTGATCCAAATCATGATTTGGAAACTTAACCAAATGCTATTTTGGTTTCTTTCAAGTTGTCATCTCAACTTGAAATAGTGTTTGGACTTGATGGGCCTATTTTGGAATTGATTTTGATGATTTGAACCATTCATTTTTTAGAACTCGTTAAATAGAATATTAATGTAAAAAATTAAGATTATTGGATATCGGTAGTTATATATTTAAATCATATTTATTTTTTTTAAAATGGATGGCAAATATAATTTCAAGAATAACCGTCTATTTTTTGTAATATAAATTTGATTCAAACATATAACTATTGATATCCGATCATCTTAATTTTTTTTATGAATATTTTACTCGACGAGTCCTAAAAAGTGATTGGTTTGAATTATTGAAACGGGACTTATGGCGGACTCCACGGATCCCTCAAGTTATCTCATGTTGAAATCTCAACTTGAGAGAAGTCCAACCCAATTATAAATACACCAATTTACAAAAATTGAAATTGCTTCTTATAATTTAAAAAATTACATTATTTCCTTTGAATTTTTTTAATTACATAATAATTTATTATTTTATTAATAAATCATAAAATCAAGTAATAGTTTTTAGTGATATCAAAAATATATTCTAATTAGCAATTCATGTAATTTTATTGTTGTATAGGAAAGCAATTAAGAATTTTATTTTTTCTGTTAATTCTATTAAATAAAAAAATTTGACAATAGGATATTTTTAATTTCTAAAACTACAAAGTTAATCCATATTTTAAGCAAACCTCATATGGTGCATTTATAATTTACCCATTAATAAAATATTAATGTGTATGTATTATTATGGGTAATTCTATAAATAAACAAATAAAAATCCAAAGACATGCATTGAAAAGTCGTTGACGCTAAAAATGAAATCGATGACAGCAGCTGGTGGTGGTGAGATAGACATATATGTGATATTAGACAAATAGGTAAATAGATAAATAACACGTACGTGACATTTGGAGAAATACCTGACATATGTATAAATATGTATTTGGACATATGTGTTACATTTGAATATATGTACAAATATATAAGCTTTAGACCGATAATGTATTTTAGCCTAAAAATTTTATGCTAATAGTTTCAGAATTGGACCTCCCGCCTGAGTATCCATGTATTTAAGCCATACAAATCAGTTTCTTACGTTTCAGAGTTGTTTGGAATGTTTTAAATATATGTACTTTTTAACTTTTTATAAAAAGATGTATAGAAAAGTAAAGAGGAGATGTTGATTGATGTGACTCAAAAAAGATAAAAAGTGTGGACTTATTTAGTCTTCCTAAACAAGGCCTTCCTTTCAAAATTACCCTCCCTCGTTGTCAATAGCCTTACTATTACGAATTAGAGATTTTAAGGGAAATTTTATTTCCACACACCTAATTAGCTCATGACATATCTTTTCGCAATACACATATCTATTAATTTGATTATCAATTTATTTTCTCAATCCACATACTTAAAGTTACAATTACACCCTTTACTTGTAACCATTGTACACACACCACTAACCCTCTTTCCACACACTTTTGATTAACACTACTTCCACATTGACCCACCCACGCCCTTAAAAAAGACTTTGGTTTGAAGTGAAAATTTCTCTATTGAAGACTTGCATAAAAGACCTCCATTGAAGATCATTGCAAATCCTCCAAATAGTGTCGAAGGTAAGACCGTATACGTTAATTTGTTCTTGAGTGTGTTGGCGAGGTTTTGGTACATAACCAATCAGTTTCCACCGCTCCACGTGATGGCACGGATGGCTATTCCCCGCATTGCTCATTGGTCAGAGAAGCACAACAAAACGATCGGAGAATTGTCTTCCAAGGGTTATACTTGCTTCAGCTACTTTCCTCAAGTTCCTGTAGATGAGATAGCCAAGGCATATAGCAGGTTAAAGCAAAGAAAGGGCCAACTTGTGCACCATGTGCTGCCGAAAAAGAAACAGAGATGGGATAGGCGGCAAGTGAACCATGTTTGGTTTGGTTGGCTTTGTAGGGTAGTAGTTTGGTACGAGAGTTTCCTAGTAATGTGATGTGTGGAAATTTGCCTGGTAGTAGTTATGTGCATATTGACTACTGCTGGACCTTGAAAAAGACAAATGGAGCAGGATTTTCAACCGGATTGTTTGTTCAAGTAAAGGAATGACAATAAAAAAATTAGAAATTAATTTTTTTAAATCAAAATGTGTATATTAAAAGACTTTTTTTGTTCTTAAACAATGTGTATAGATAATTTTTCCATATTATATTATGGGTGTTGTTGAATGTCTATTATTGTCATTTTTATTTAAGATATGATTGTCATTAAATTAATATTTCATTAAATGTGTACCTTAAGATAATTAGGTATTTGGAAATAAAATTTCAATGATCACTACCCTACTAAGAACCACATACACATTGTGGTCAATGGCCTTTTTATCTAAGAGACATTAATTTTCCCCATGTAATCAGTAGTATGACACTTACTAGGAACCACTATTGTAATAGTAATCTTGCACAGACTGGGAGTCATCGATTTATTTTATCCCATATTATGCACCTTTTGAATAAAAAATTTTAGAAGGCTTCAATTACATAAATAATGATCTCAAAACACATTTATCAAAATTTAAAATTCCTCACATAATTTTTTTTTCCTCTTTTAAGTTTCTCAAAAAATCATAACCTAGCAAATAATTGAATTTTAGCCAACAAAGTGCCAATCCTTCCTGTTCCTTTGTAAACATTTGCTTGGGATACTTTCAAATTTCTCCCTTTTCTAAACTTTCACAAATAACTCAATCTTTCCCGATAAGTAAGAACATGAAAGTTATTCAAATAATTGAATTTGTCCCCATATTTTGCAAATGTTCAAAACTCCCCATTGCATCAATTTTCAAACCATAGACATCAGTTCCATTTAAATGCAATAATATATACAAACTCTTTAATGGACATAAACACATGAGGCCAATCAATTTGCCATAAATGACACGTAATAGGCACTGTATAACTGTTATGACATAATCATACAGAGAAATAAAATATATCTCATGTGTGTATACATTAATTATGACCAACAATTTTAATCTTTAGTTTAATGCTGGAATAAATTGATAATGAGTATCATCAAAGCTTTTAAGGAGTTACAATTCAAAATCTAAAACGTCTAGTGCATTCACTATTTCATAAATTACATGTATAACAACTTGTTGAATACAGAAATTAGAATATATAAAATCTTTTTATTTTAGTATTATGTATATAATTTGTGATTATGTCAATCACTGATTCAATATTATTTTCTTATTTATATCATTTCCTAAATTGTATCATGCATCTATTATTTATGCATGGTTTCTACCTCATTCATGAGTAAACCAAATAATTCTTTTCATTCTTTTTGGTATCAGAGTTAGGTTAAGTACCTAGTAATTTTGCTTCATCGGCAGGCGACAGTCTTGCCTTAGCCGCCCGCCGAACCTCAACCCATTCCACTGTCATATTTTCTTTCAATATTACTTCGTGGTAATTTCTTCCTCTATCCACTAGTTTGTTCCTATCTCAAATATCTCAATTATATATTTTTTTTACTCATAATTTATTTTTTTTGTGTGTTTCTGTTTCGTTTTGTTTTTCCCTCTATTTTAACCTCAAATCAGTTTTTATTTTCAAAGATATTTGAGTTTTAGGGGGGTATTATACCTATACCATAGTGAGCATGGTGATATATCATGTGAACCATCTAAGTCGCCCCATCTGGCGCACAATCCAAGTCGCCCTCTTGGCACACCACCTAAGCTGCCACTCCTGGCGTGCTTTCTAATAGGCCGCCCCTCAGAACACTCAGTCATTTATTCCCATCATCGTTTAGCGCCACGTCATAAGTTATGTGAGTGCCACGCTTGCTGATTCAACATCCAATTCTCTACAACGGTCGGATATGACCCCTTAAACTGTCCCGACATTGATTTCGGTTAGTTCCTACAACGGTTCGGCATGACCCCGTAAACTGTCCCAACATTGATTTCGGTTAGTTCTTACAATGGTCCAGCATGACCTTAAACTATCCCGACATTAGTTCCGACCAGTTTCTACAACAGTCCAACATAATCATAAACTATCTTTCGGCATTGGCACCAGCCTCTGATGCCAACTAGGGTCATGTTGGCTTTTCTGGCCATAGATGCTTCAGCAGCTCTTCTAGGGCTATTCAATCCCTTTTTTTTTTTCTTTTTTTTCTTTTTTTTCTCTCTCTCTCTCTCCCTTTCTAGGGTGTAATGCTGATGTATTAAGTACATTTTGGTTTTTTTTATTTAGTGGACTACCAAATTTGTTCGGTAGCATTTATTTGGACTAGCTGTTGAGTTTTTTCCGGCTTCTTCCAGTCATCCATTGGCAAGCTACAATTGTTGAATATCTTCACACCAACTTGAGGGGAAGTGTTGAATATAGATATTAGAGTACATAGAATCTTTTTATTTTTAATATTATGTATATAATCTGTGATTGTGTCAATCATTGATTTAGTATTGTTTCCTTATTTATATCATTTTCTAAATTGTATCATAAATCTATTATATATACATGACCTCTACCTTATTCATGGGTAAGCCAAATAATTCTTTTCATTCTTTTCGACTCCACCAATCAATATTATTTCAATAAAAAGTTTTTTTTTTTTTAAATAGCAAAGAAACCATTTTTATTG